TTTTTTTACAGAAGATACTTATATAAGTTGTCAACAAGAAGCTGTTTAAAAAGCCGGCTTTCTGTTGTGACTGAAATAACCCGAGATTATGCTGCACGACAATCAGTATTATGATCCTACTTAATACCGTTTTAAAAGCGATTGTCAATCTCTGCAAATTTCTGACTTTTGCATGAAATATCGGCCATACCAGTGCTTGAGCCTGAAAATCCTACTGAAGCAAGACACTGTTTTGCTCTAAATTCAAGGAAGACAAAGGTCCGATTTGAGGTTGAGCTTAATTTTAGAATAACGATTACGATTGGATTTGGGGTGGTTTTATTTTCGCCACCAGAAAAATGATACATTCGTGAACTGTTCAAAAGGTACTGGGTGCCGGATGAGGCTGCGGTAGGCCATGTAACCGCACCTGGCAGCCCGTAACCGCAAAGTCGTGCAGTGCTGGTAATATGGGCTTTTACGGGTGGTCAGACAATGGTAACTCGTCCGAACATGTAAAGTTAAAAATAAGAAAAAGTCGTAAATAAGAAGGATGTTGTTTAAGTGTGATGTTCAGTTTCTGAAGCAGCGCGCCTTTCGATTGTATAGCAAAGTGTCAAGTGAAGTAGTAGCAACCGCTGAGCGACTAATTTCCTACAACTGCAGCCAATCAAAAATGCATAATAATGAAAATAATAAATATCCATGTAGCGATTGTTGAATTCCACGAGCCAAATCTACTCAACAGTAAGTATTATTCTTAAGCATAATAAATCACATAACTGCGCGTAGTCCAAAAATACGTTAACATATCCCTTACACAAAGCATAAATCAGAATACCCCTCCATGTAGTCAAAACGGCACTGCTGCAAGATGACTGCTGCAAGATGACTTATATCACTCATTATATAATGTGTGGCGAAAATACACAAAACGGTACCGCTAGCCTTTTTGTAGAAGCAATTTAGTAACAGCGTACGCTTTCGTCAAAAGAAACCGTTTGAAGGCGCTGTGGAGGCTCAAATGCAGAAAGGATTGCTTCCTGTGGCTGTAATATAATAAGCAAAACAAGGCCAACTAAAACAACCCGGGTAGGGAGGTATTAATGGTTAACTCTGTGGGCTTATACACCTATCCGTAAATAGAGCAAAATATAATCTAAAAGCTCACCAGTCTGTCATAGGACCTGATTTGCTCCGATTGTGCAGTGATTACTCCCTTCGGAGGCGGACTTGAGAGGTACCTGCTCCCTTGCTGTAAATGATCGGGTAGCCAAGTAATGTTTACAAGCGATAGGGTTGAGAAGTTAGCTCCTCTGTCAACGGCAAATGACTTGGGATTCAGGAACTGCGTATCCTGTAGAAAGAAATACTGCACTCACGCAGACCAATGGGATGCAGGTTTATATCATAAGTACATCAAGACTGGCATTCAAAGGAAAAAAAGCAAAAAAGCCAAAAGTTAACGTCTTGGAAAGCCAACTGTAACGTTTCTGCTTCCATGTGGAAATAAGTGACGCGTACACTCGTAAATACAGTTGTAGAATGCACCGGCCTTTGCCCTGTTGACTTATCAGGTCTGCCGATTGCGGCAAAAAGCACGTGTCATAATCGCCTCTTTACCTTTCACATCAAAACATGTTACCCTAGTATTTACTCATGTGAATACTTTTGTGTTGATTCTTTACCGGCCGCGAATAAAAGCATCTAAGTTTATGTGGTCTTTGTTTCAACAAATGCAGCTTAGCATTACACATGCATCTGCGCGCAGGTTACGCTTAATCGTGAGGATTGTTATTTTTATAATGGGAATATAAGGAGCAGAGGTGCCAGGAAATTAAAGGCATTATTTATCTGGAAGAGTGCTCGGTCCTATTGGGACCAGGAGCAAGGTAAAACCGGATAAAAATAAAGAGAGAATCGCTCGTGCTCGAATTTTCCATAGAGGTGATTACTCCTCATATTTCATGAAATTCGAATCCTCCTGAAGGTCAAGAGAGGGTATACAGCCTATAAAACGTATAGTGCGCAAACTAAGATTATTTTTCTATCGTTCCAACCGATGGTACTTTCCTAAATAAATGAACTACGGATACCTGATTCCTCTAAGAACTCCTTAAACAATTCTTAAAACACAGTACACTTGGCAAATAGAACAGATAAATAGCTCGCGTTTGTAAAATAACTGAAGATTATTCACAAGAAGATTGCGTGTTCACGTACCCAATCCGTAAATATGTAACTATAGTACTGGCTTGTCATGTTGTACTCATTTATCTGTAATAAGATAAATATGCAGGGTAAACTTGGGAAAAAGAATATATCGTCGTAGGTCTGTCAAGTTATATTTTTGCGAAAACAAAATTGCTAGTTACGCAGTAAAAAACTTACCAAATCCAGAAATTCGGGTATTTCTGACTGTGGAATGTCGACCACAAAACGGAACTGTGACATCGTTGTCCGGAAATACTTGATGACGTATTTATGTATCAGATCATTGCGGTCCCATTTACGCATAATGATATCGCCCTTGAAATGCGCGAGCAAACTTTCAAATTTCTCCAAACCTAGATAATGTAAAGCAGCTTGTATTACACGGATTTTTCTAAAAGTGCAAATATATTTACAACACTAGGTTCAGCCAGGCAAAAAATCACCTCTAATCACTTCTTTGGCGAGCGCACAATCAACTTCCTATGAACTACTTTTAAAAAGACTTTGGCGTTTGGAGAGGTATGCTGCTATGTTTACTTATGCATGGTCCGACAAATGATTATCGAAAGCGCACAGCTAGTAAAAGAACGTAAGGATCACCACGACTTAACTTCAACCGGTCATTATGAGATTAATTAGAAATTATAAAACTTATCCATTAGGTGATCCTGGTAATTACAAAATATCCCTTCTCGCAGATTATTTTTGGTGTTATTTAATTACCAAAGAAACAATTTTAACTGAAAGCCGACAATTGATTAACATTTTGTAATTTCCTCTCTATTTACGATGGTGTACGATGGTGTACGCTGGAAAACTGGCGGCAGAATAATCTCTCTCACATTAAGATTTTTTCGTGAAGACCCACGTTTTTTCTCATGCAGAAGAGCATTCACACACATGCAGACAAGTAAGGCCACTAGCTTTTAACTGGCTGGTCACATATCTGTGCAAAACAGGTCAGCTTTCGTACGTGTGTCTACACCACTACCAAGCTGTATGTGAGTCTTGTAGACCTATAGTTTTGTTTTTGGTCTAAATCACAACTATTCCTCTGGTGGTTCTCACCTACAACATCCAGACCTCATATGATATTCCAAAAGTATAAAAGAAACGTGTCAGCACAGTCGATGTGTTATTTCACGAAATTATACTGAAATTCTCAAACATATTTCCTTTTCCGAAACATAATTAGAGCTGTAATATTTATTATTGAGCGGTCTAATCCCAATATATTTTTGATAGGCCAAGATGTCCTCTGTTAAACAAGATGCATGCCATCCGCTTGTAAAAACCATGCTATACGAAAACGACTTCTTATCTAGTAGTAGTGTTTCTCATTGATAGTCAGTTGCCTTATAACTTAAAAGATGGGTCATAGAAAACATGCAAAAAACTACCCCTTTCTGTATTCATTTGGTAAAAAGTATGCCTTCTTCAAAGCTGGTACTCGAAGGAAGCATATATTTCAAATCTAAGAAAGACCCTTTGCAATCTACAGTGCACTTTGAACTCGCTCTACTTCTATATTTGCATTAAGGATCATTAAACTTCATGCTAGAGACACGCAGTCTAAGGAAACCCATTTATATCTCTACCCCAAAATGAAGACCTATCATAGTATTCATAAACGTTGTACTTGGTTAAGGCCATATTGCTTATTCCATAAACAGCATTAGCAAACCTACAGATAAGAGTCTGTATGAAAAGATATTTAAAAGTCTTACAAATCTATCTATTAATAGATATATTTTTAAAACCGAAAATTGCGCTTTTGTTAAATATTAATTTTAAGAAAAGCGTAAATTGCTACTAAAATAATACAATAAAGCATATGCTAATGCACCTTTTATAAAATATATCTGAAATTATGAAGGAATCGAGATTTAATGAGAAAAGAGTTGTGCTGCGAAAGCAATCATCTCTATAGGGGTCAGTTTATACAGGTGGCGGGAAAGAAGCTTAGTCAAAAGCCGTCATCCTTACACGACCGATTTGGATTGGGATGATGTATTAAGATAATGAATTTTTGAACTAGTATAACATTTCAGAATTTCAGTTAACATCTCCTGAAATAATAAATATGTTTCACTTCCTTAGCAAGTATATTTGCTCGTTTTCGACAGTCGTCTATAACCGAGGTTATCTCCTTACGAAACTGCTATTATCGAAATTAGTGGGGCCATTTAAAGTCTACGCAAAGTCAAAATAATAACGAAATTTAACAGTTGTGGGTAGGAGGCAGGCAGGCAGCCTTACCTTCGTCATCGGTATAGATGAGGCCCAGTTGCTTCCATTCCTCAGCTTCTTCAACAAAACGCCTAAGTGTGTGGCCAATCACGCTCTGCGGGGGATGAAGATTAATGGAGACGTTGTTTAAGTGCGGCTCGTCTCCCCACCTAGTCACCATATAGGGAATGCCGTGTTTGTGACTGACGCGCAATGCCTGTGCTGATGCAGCATTGCCGTTTGGCCCAAATATCGCAACCACCGGTTCCCTCAGCAACTCGCATGCTTTAAATAAAACAAGGTATGAACACCGACGTAACACTTTGTGTACAAGAGCAAAATTTCAAGTAAGTCCTCAATCGGCTCTACACAATAAGTCTTCAGTACAGCCAGATTTGTTACGCTTTCAAAATATACTGTGAAACGTCATTGCGGTCATTCAGGCCTCTAGTTAAGGCTTTACGTTTCATATTGTGTGCCTGATTGGATCACAACGGAATTCTATTAAATGTACTGACATCGATCTGAAAATTAGCTTACGAGTTTAGCAATCCGTCGAATGTCGCGGCGGTGACGTTCCGAGACGCCCCGCGAAATTCAACTTTCCGCGAAGTGTATTTTGAGTATTATTATGTGCAAATTTAAATTTACATGCACTTAAATCTAACAAGTCCTTCATACACTATTTTAAACCTTATTAGACTTACCAAAATCCCTATAAGCAGCTCAAGCACTCTGAAACGCTGTACTATAATTCGTAAATAAATTTAAGAAAATAAAAGCGTAAAAATTCCCACAAAATATCTAAAAATCAGCTGAACGGAATCTGGACGAAATTCCATGAAAAAGGAAGGGATTACTCCATTATTTTAAGGATAACTTGCTCCAGAAACGATATCGGAAAGCCCGAAGTAAGAAAAAACATATGGGAATCAAATTTTTCACCCACATAAGCAAACGTTAACGACTCATGAGCAAAGATACTGAAGTTAGTTCATTTTCCGCCCCCTGTTGCAGGCGGCTTAATTCGCTGACCACTTTCCGCAACCGGAAGGCACAACATAATCAAATTGAGAAAGCAGCAGAGTTTGCTGGACATTTATTATACCAAACTGAGCACATTGTGGTGAGCTTGGCCAGTCATCCTCTTGTTAAAATTAAAGTTTTCTGACAAAGCTGCTCTCAATTCAAGCGGCTTACTGGCCTAAGCAAACATGGACTGGCTTAATATATTTTTTCTTCTGTTGTTCGATGGATAAGAGAGCTGTTTGTTCTGCCACACTTTACCTCGGTGAAGAGTAGGTGATGCTAGTTACTGGATTGACTACTCAAGCCTCCATCAAGTTAGCTCGCTAGCTAGTTATCTGGGCTGATTCTATTAAATTCACTACCCGTTAAATAATTTCGAATCAATGTGGATCAGAAAGCAGGATTTTAAAAGCTGGGAAAATCCGACGCGCCTTTTAGTAGACCTATTCTCCGAAAAGAATGTATATTTCGTCAGTTGTCCTAGGTTTGAACTGCTCACGATGTTCGCTCTGTGAAAGTTAAAATTGTGACCAAGCACTCCGACACAATCTGAGAGTTGGGGTACGATGTCGACGTTTTGGTGCCATAACGTGAACAATAGGCTTGGTATCCTTATAAGGAACGTGCTGCAGAAGTTCCATAATCCTCTCACCGCAAGCTTCGAAGATATCAAATTCATGAAGGAAGAACAAAAAACAACAGGTTCCCTTCCTTCATGTGCTCGTCAGGCGAAATCCCAACGAAGAAATATAATCAACGATCTACACGAAGGTGCCGAACAGCACACAGCTTTTCGGTCGTCACAACAACCATCCGCTGGCCCCCAAATGAAGTCATGTCGGAGCAATCTTCAAACGAATTGCAGCAACTTGGCCGGAAAGGCACGCCAGGTCCGATATCTTCGCGGCTAGTTTATGCCAACCGGCTAACTGCGGGCTTTCATAAGCCGATGCCTACAGCCTTATCCCCGGAGGACGCAATAAGAAACAGCATCTATGATACACCAAGAAATACCAAATGTCAGAAATAGACAAACTTATTGCTGCGGCACTAGTCGTCGGAATTGCACACCGGCCCAAGTTACCATGCGTAACAGGATCACGAAAATTCAGGATAATTAAATACAACTAAGAAATTAGGTGTATTGCTTTGCTTCCCGTGCCTAGAATGTCCTCATAACTACAAAGACTGGACTATATGCATGCTCGTATTGCGTATACGCAAACACAGGCTGGCTGTTAGAGTAAGTAATGGATTATTCTAAGTGGATGCCCATACCTACTAAGGGGGTCACAAGCTTAACTTTGCTACCACAACGGTGATCTCTCACACCAGAATTAAGACAAACAGCGAATCGATTGAAGCCTGGGCCTCCGTTGAGAAACCAGTGAATCGATATATCAATTTGGCACCCGCATACAGAGTCCTACGCAATTACATCCGGATCAGTCACCAAATTGTACAACTGTCACTAGGTTCGGTACCGCGTTACCTCCGAAGGTGAACTCTAGTAATAATTCGAAATTTCTGATGAATAAAGATATGATCAAGGCGATCTACCAGCCCTCATTTTCCTTATTCATACGTATACCTGATATGCCAACATTAATTTTAATTCGTATGCTTTTTCGCCTTTTCTAGCAGCTGTGGGCGTGTCTTCATTCTTTTACCCAGTCGCTCGCTCGCACGCACCCGTAGCCTCTTCATACTTTGTAAACATATGCCAAATATAGTTGTTTTGTTGTTGTTGGGGGGGGGAATCACACACTAATAAACGGTAGCTTGTGTGCTGAAGGTCCCGCCAGGCAATAGCTGAAAACTGTCTCGAGGTCTTTTCTGACCTAGGTGATCTGTCAGCATTTGACCTATCGTTCTTTTTATTTTTATTTGTGTTTCTGACTGGGTTAATGATTCTTGATGGTATCGAACGTGGCCTACGGGTTGTTTGTGGCATATAGACCGCTTCCATACTAAGGAATATAGTTATTTAATTTCCCCGGAAATTAATTCCGAAGTTGTCTTAGATCAGTATATTCAAGGTCCATCAGCATAGACTGTATACTAAGGGTTCCAAGTCGGCTTATGGCATATGGAATGCCGTGGGTGGGTATCCACATTGCAGGGTTACGATCCCTCTGTGTTCAGCAGCGCTAATGCACAAGTTTTGATCTTCAAACAAAAGAGGCTATCTTATCATTTGTGCACACCTGGAAATTTTGAAACAGGATAATATCTTGGCCTGTTAGCCCAGGTATGGTCACGTTGGTAGCAAGTTGTTATCGGCAGTTTACTGAGACACGTCTCCAGACTCACGGATAAACCGGTGGAAGTTAAATGTAAAGTGAGCTACCTAAACTATCTAATAAAGCTTAAATATAAACTTAAACTGAACGGAAAAATAAAAAAAATAAAAGTAAAATTGTTGTTGGCGCGCCAAGCATTGGTGGCAAACATTAGACTATTTAAACAATTTTGGGGACCTAAATATAACTTCCACCGAAAAACCTAGTGGATGCTCTTGCTTATTTCCGTCCCGGCACCTAGCTCTCATCTGCGGTCACACGAGGCCGTTCTTAGCAAAACAATCACAGCCCCGGTAGCGGTCCTCGACCAGACGAGGGTGCCCCGTGTAGTCGCACTCGATTGGCTCGGAACTAACACCGTAACTGCCTCTCCATTCCAAAAGCAAAACAAAAACTAAATCCCACGGAGGGGAAGACAGGCGGTCTTATAGGATTTCCAGGCTTATTCGCGTGGTCTTAAAATTAAACAATATTCTCTGAAAATGGTGGAATTCGTGAGAGCATGGGATGATATAAGAGCCCTATTAAGGGGTGGCATTGCTTATCTCGTCGCGGAGGGGAGGGCTAAAAATGTGTTTGAAAACTCACTGATAAAACATACCGCCAGCAAACTGACTGCGCTGTGCGAGATAAACAATTTCAATCTAAAGTTATAACTAACCGCATGCACTCTGTCCCAAATTCCATTCTTCTCCAAAGGCTACTCGAGTAAGCATTCTCAGTCTAGCCACTCGAAATCGTCGGTATATTTTAGTCAAGCGGATGATAACCTGCACGGAAAAGAAATCAGCTCCAAGTCTCCGGGTACGTGCGTGTCAAAAGTAGGCTGTGTGACCTTCAGCGGGACGTGCTTTTGCAAGCAGGGACGAAGAGGAAAGATAGCCATCAAATACACAATTTTTCTGGGGCGGGCGTCCAATGGCAGAACAACGTGACGCTGGAGTTACAGTCGCCGCTAGGAACGACGGTGGTAAAGGCTTTCCAACCTGCTATAGGCCTTCAGTGACCGTCTCGTGAAACTGCAGTGGTTATTTCAAAAGAATAAATGGGTGACTGGTGTCAGCTCCTAGGCCGTGTTGATGGTCAGCTCCGATGACGTGTATGCCAGTTTTATGAATACTTATATGGCCTCCTAGCGACTTTGCCGAAGGCAATACTGAATTTACTGCCCGCTCATTCGATAACGCTGCCCGGAGGAGGGTTCTCGATCCTTACGGGCTCGGCAGCTACAGGAGCAATGACCTGAACTTCCTTCCTAATCTTCGGGTAGCATAAGCTTCATCTGACCACCATCGTCTTCTGTCTTCCGATCTGGCAGAAAGAAACTCGAATGCGGTTTTTCCCCGTCTGTAGGCGTGATAAATTTGACATGCTTATGACTACCGTGGTGCGACGGGCCGACTACTTGATGATCCACCTCTCATCACTTTTCCAAAGCGGTCTGTAAATTTGCCATAAAAATCCTGCTCAAACATAGATACTAATGTATTTGCGGTTGTTTTCTGTCTTTATGTATTAAGGAAGCCAATAAACCTCCTTCTGCCTTCGTTCTGCGAGCCAGCATGCCCAACAAAAGTACTTTCGCGCTGGAGGACTTGACCTGTAACACACTGACCCGCAAGTCCGCGGATAATTTTTGATAGCTTTGCTAAATATCCATCATTTTCTTGTCTGCACTACTGCTAATTCTACAAATTCTTGGAAAAAAACTTAACCAAAGACTACCTTCCACATTTTTGTAACCTTTTTAATAATACAATATAGATGAACATATATACTCCGGTTGATTTACTCTTTTTGGTTACACAGAAATGCATTCTGCACATCTGACATATACCTGCATTCATTCAGAACATATTTTCGCACTCTTGGCCTTTAAGCTTTTCTCCACAGCATCAGTATTTCTTAGAAATTTAAAAAACTTCATTATACTCCATTTGTGCTTTTTGATCAGAGCATGATCCACGGCTTTCTTTCTATCCACTAGAATGCTTCGAGTATGCAGATTTAAGAAAAGGAGGCTTAAAAATCATACCTGCTTTTGTGGCTGCGAAAGCATTTCCCGCTTCAATGTGTTTCAGGACGGGCACTAGTCGCACTTGGTGGGGCCGTCCGGTCAGCAATTCGGCCAGTGTCTGGTTGGCGGCTTCAGTTGCCTTTTGGAATGCCAGTGCCCAACTTTGGGATTCACCTTCGATAATGAACCCTGGAAGGAGACACACACAGGAAGAAAAAGAGGGATTGGAATTTTTGTTTCATTGGAAATCATTGCAAAATCAAGAACTTTGATATTAAAATTAAATAAAATGACGCGCAACTGGGCATCTCGAATAATACTGGCGACTTGGGGCTAATTTCCAGAAAGCTCAATGTTAGAACTAGTTTTAGGTTTCTGTCTGGAACAAGGTAATGTATATTTCGTGGGATTTAGCATATGGTTAGCTGTCATGCAGAGGGGTACATGCTCTCGCGTTCAGTCAATTAATGTTTTTGCGAATCAGTTATACAGCCGAATTGCCAAAGCGTACTGCGCACATTGAAATAAGCGGTAATTGGTTATTTTTCTGTTTGATTTCTACAATGGTTGAGACCGAAAATTCATTTTAATACTAAATGCCTGAATGTAAACCGCAAGCATTTTCCAGGTTTCCCAAGGCTATTTATCGGTATGAAAGTCTACTTATGTCCGGAAGACATAAAATCTAGGTTTGTTAGCAATAAGGATAATAAAAATATTGTCAAATATTCTAAACCTATTTCCGCCTATCGGAAAGCCGCAAATCAGTCCTGAAATTGTAAATTTGAACACAGGGGTCAGTCCGTTGCCATTCTTCACTGTATGCTTTCTACGGCTGACGGATTAACTTTTGCGAACTAACACATTCAAGAATAGCTGAATTTTGCAGGGCACGATCAGGATCAGCAGTTATGAAGGGAACTGTGGTTGCTCAAAGCGCTAACACTGATTTAATCAGCTGACTATGATTCATGCCTTGCAGTTTACGCCTCATTAGTCTAATACCATTGATGATAGACGACAATAAAAGTTAACCAACCATATTGGAGCACTGATGTAGATAAGGCTTTCAATCTTAGAGCAGCCATTTCCAAGTTGAACTTTAAAATATAGTTTTGTTATGCGTTTGCGAAGCTGCGAGTAGACATTTTGCTGTCAGACCAACCGCAGTTTGCGTTAGATTCGAAATCGAACTACGATAACAAATAGTCCCAAATTGTTAAATGAGCAGCGGAAAAGTTATTTTCTTTGTTTACCTGAACCCTCATGTGGGTGTGCTCCATTTATAGCCTGTCATTGGCTTATTTGCAGCTAATTTTCCTACTCGAATGTTTATGAAGGTGCTCAAGTACTCCCTGTGAGTTTTAACATTTTATGATTGCAAGCATAACTGAGTCTTTGAGGACATTCTCACGTCATATTCCGTGTTTTGTAACTGATGAAAAGATCCAAAATCACGGTTTGCTTAACAGACTGCCCTCAAATCAGAGGATAGTCCTTCATGAAAAAAGATACGAAATAACCCTTATTTCAGTCGAAGTTTATACAGTTAATCCTAGTTCCTTTATTAGCAATTTTCTGGCAGAACTAAAAGAAAACTGATGCCATATGCATGCAATAAACAAATATTGGCAGAGAGCACAGCAGAATTTCTTACCAACATTAAGTATTTGCTCCTTTGAAGCAGACTTCACAAAAAGCAGCGATCCAACGCATAGGAGATAAAAATAAGCCCCTGCAGAATTCAGCTTCATTGGTCTATAATAATATGAAAGTTGTATTTTATATATTTTCAAATAAATTAAATAATATTGTGAGAATTTGAATGAAAAATGTAACAATGAGTTTCCCATTTCGGTGGCAGTTTAGGGCAAATACGAATTCGGCCTAAAGTTTTAAAGTACCACTGACTTTAACTAGTGCAGGGTTCAAATCTGAATCCTGTTGATTACTAGATAATGGAGCTATTTTTGTTAAAATATCAATTACCAAGCTGGGCTCTCTGGAGGAATAAAAATGACAGATGGAGCCACCTGGTCTCTACCGCTCTCCTTCATGTTGGTTCATAGGCATGGTAGACAGAAAGCACTCGTGTTTTACGGGAAAGGCACTAAAAGGGGTTTTACTGGCTCCGTAAGCAAAGAGGCAACAATAAGTACAGTTTCTCCGTTAGTCTTTTTCAAATGATCATGCAGCATACAATTTGATGAGCGGAATATTAGTAAATCCAAACACCCGTGTTCGTAAGCTTTATCAATAAGCCTAATACCAAACCTTAACCTAGCCCCTTAACCTAACATAAACGAATAAAGCCTAACCCTCAAGTCTACCTCAAACCCTAACGCTAATCCTAGACGTAACACCAAGCCTTAACTGTAGTCCTTACCTTTAGGCATACCCTCACCTCAAAGCCTAACCTTAATAAAACTCGAGAAAGGATCTGATTGAATGGGTGAAAGGGATGAGGTATTAAATTAAACCTGCTCAACTAGAATAAGTATGTCGTAGAACTAGAGGCTAGCTTAAAGAACGCATAACTGATCATCACCGGCATGGGAAAAGAAATCCCCCTTGAAACACGTTGTCCAATAACCCAATTTTGAGGAGCTCCGCCTTAAGCTTGGGGGTTAGATTTAGAGCCTTTTTCTGGGTCAGACTTGATGTTAGCACTAGAAACCCAGAACATAGTTATCTCCCGGTATTTAGCGCAAGCCGTCCTCCATTCTATGGCAAGGGTTCCTGTTCGGGAGCGTTGCCGCTTCCATTTTTTCAATCTTTCAACTAGCTGAACAACGGTGAGGCTCATAATATTAAATTTGAAGTTTTAAGCGTCCAAAGGACACGATTTGGCGAGAGAAATAAACAATAACTTTGCTTCATATAAAAACTGTACACGCCCTCTCACAACTGCGCTAAATTATAAGAACAGAGACAATGCACGCAGAAGTCCTCGTTGTGCACGTAATTCATAATGTTGATTTTCACATCCGCCGGCGGTTCACCCATCTCTGTACCATACTTTTAATATAATATCCATGACTTCCCGATTAGGTGTTTTTGGAAAAATAGTGGGCTCAGAAAGAAGAAGATAAAAACTCCTGAAACGTGGTATTTAGGCGTAACCCAACTAGCAAGCCTTACTGAAGTGTTAAGAATTGGGGGAGGTGCTACGGGGAATGAGCGAACGGGAAGGTGTTGAAGTAAGTCTACCCATGTGACAGGTTTTTTATGGGACTAAAGGCTGGGCGTGGCAAAATATGCGATCTATGCCCAAAAATATTCCAAGCAAATTAATTAATAGTACGAAATAGCTGGAGGTGTACTTTAAACGACAGCAGTTAAAAATAGCCGGTATGGGATGCTTGTATTCACCTTCTCTTGAAACTATCAAGGCAAATTCCAGAAATGCCTAAGTTAAACAAAACAGTGCAAGCGCAAACCAACAACAAAGCCAAATCCCATTAATAGTCTGAAATGTATTCAAAAAATAGAGCAAAGCCTAAAGACTGCCTTCGCCGAACACCTTATTCTTAAACCGTATACAATACCTTTACCTCAGGGAAGAAACCTGATGAGTTCTGGGGAGGAGTTGCCATCATCTTAACCGCAATAGACTTTGAACTAATTGCTGCCATAGAAAACTGCTAAACCTTTACTGGATTTGTTATAAATATGAATCTTACTTGTTCAATAGAAACAGGTTGGGATTTATACTTCGGTCTGCATTTCGTAGAGAAAGGTCAGAAGGTACAGTGTTGTTTTGATGGGCATGGTGTGCCATAGCAGACATTAGCCGCCAAAGCAGAGAGCTTGGGACTCCTATGCTTGTAGAAGCCGCATCTATAACTTCTTAACTTGCGCTTTTATTATTTGTTAGTTCATAGCCAACACCGCAACGTGCTTCTCTTTCGTCAGTACGTATCTTCAGACCTTACCAGCTAGAATTATCCCCGTGACTCACTTAAATCAACACATCACCAAAACCTCCGGACAGCTGTTAGGTGGAACTACGTACTACGCGGTTCGGAGCGCTTGACGCATAAAACCATGAAATTCGTCCTCATTAGGAAAAGGCATTGATGGCGTGGGAGAATGCACTATCTTGAAAAATCTGCCTTGAAATACTTCCCACTCTGTGTACTCTTAGAATGAACAAGGTATGTCAATTTTAGATACAGGCACCTAATGCTCACTGTTAAAGCAAGCATTCCCTAAAACATTGAGCCGAATTGTAAGTAACCTTCTTGGATGGTTTTATCTTGACTTACATGTTAATTGTATTTACATTTTGCTGCCGCGCTCCATCAGAATGTAAGCCAGTTAACACCCACCCATTACTCTTTTCTGATTAGCACCGCGGGAGACTTGCGTTGGCATGTCTACCCTGAAACTCCCCACAGAAGTAGCGACATACAAAAGTAAAATTAAGTCATCGACTTGAAAAAAATTAGAATGAGATTAGGCTTAACAGTTGTGCACAGGCAGTCAAAAAGATTTTCCACACAACCGCAAGATAGAATAAAATCAAACAACAAATATTTGCGGACAGTATTGCAGGCAAAGACAAGGGGACTGGAATGGTCATTTCTGGCTTGCAAGCCGTCGTCTGCCAGTCATCATCAGCCACAAGTGGTGCAGCACTCGAAGCTTGAACTTTAAATCTAGCGCACTAAACATTGAGCCTTGAGGTCGTTGTTTTGCCGGTTTACGACAAGAGTTATTGACATTTGTCGATGAACATTTGCTGAGAGCTGACAGAACCCACTTGTCCCGTTCCCCCCCCCCTGCGTTGGGCTTTATTTCGCGGATCCTGACAGCAGTTGTATCAGCGAGTAGTATAGGCAGATAGAGAAATGAGGTCGCCGGCAAAGGCGGAACGGAACAAAAGAGTTCTGTTAGCAGTCGGCGAACGCTCGTCAACGAGTGTAAATGATTATTTACTTAACCATGCAAATATTTCCTTCTATAAAGCGTCTCACCAAGTTCTACAAAAGGAAGACAATGAAGCAAGGATAGGTAGGAGTATATCTTGTCCGTTTGAAAGTTAACACTATTAAGTCCAACCACAAGAGCCAACTGTGCGATGGCTTAGGAGTCCAATTGAGGTAGACTATGGAAAAGAAAATTATCAGTACCTGTTGTAAAGGGCTATTTATCTGGCAACGTTGACCTTCGAAACAGTTTCATGGGGTTAATGCTTGTAGCTTTGCAAGACATGTTTCAGCGTTCACTCACGAGGACTTGCAATAAAGTAATTTCAAGTGTCAAACACTCTGAAGACCGATGTACTAATCCTTGCCCATTGTAAGTGACCGATTATGCTTTAAATTAAATTAGAGGCACCTTTTCCGATCTAACCTGTTTCTCGGATGGAAAAGGGAACTTTCATTTTGCATCTGCAACCCAAGACCGAGGGAGCAGAGCGAAGGAAGATGTTTCCATTCCTCTCCGTAGCAAGATATGCCGTTCATTGTCATTGAAATCTGAATCCCCTTGGCAATATCAAAGTTGCAGACCACATCTGACCAAGGTAGCCTGCACACACATTCTCTCTCTTTCAAGATAATAGTTATGTTCGAATCTTTTTGGCTTTTCGAATAACGTACACCGGTATCCTCAGACAGTATATTACACTTAGGTCTATTCATGCTTTCAAGGCAAATGCATTTTCATTCTTCGGTGATTCAGGTGTCCAGAAATAGAGACAGTTAGTAAATCTGCGAACTTCAAAGCTCCAGAGTTGAAGACAGAGTTTTAAAATGATTCCCACATTTCGCAACAATGTCCGTCATATGGCTGAAACAAAAGCACCTCATGTTCCCTTTTTTACCATTAGTCTGGGCGTTCATTATGCGAGATAAGCCTTTGCCAGACCGCTTGTCTAAACTTCGGTCGACGAACAGCGCAACTGTTCTTTAAATATTATTGTTAACAGTCCGCCGATCGTACCATCTGCGGATATTTGCGTAGACTGGCTTAGTTCTAACCCCTGTATCGCTGAAATAATCTCTCAGACTACGTATATGCGTTTATTCAGTCAACATTGACTATCCCCATTCTATCCTTTTACTTTCGCACAATCCAAATATCGTTTTCCAGTATCTCGATGAAAACTGCTGTTTACTGTTCGCCGATATCTTGACAATTAATAGGCAATACGAAGAAATATGCTTAAAGCCTATTAGATTTGGCAACGCTGATCTGATTTTTTTTATTTATGCGTTCATCTTCCTGTTTATTTTTACTCTCTGTCTTTCATAGTGTTCAGGTTTGTTAAAAATTACTATCAGTATACCCAAGAGCACATAAAGATCGGTCTCAATCTTCCTTCCCCTTTGTGATGCATTATTTTAGTATACGAAGTCTGTAGTCGACTGGTGATCAAGTTGCCCTACTGCCTGCTACGACATCGAAGGCTCCGCCTACATGTGTAACACGCCCATGTGGCAATAGTTAGAGGCCCACACAAACTAACCACAATCTGCTTAACGTAATCCATGAGTCAGTATAGACCACATTTTTGGCTTATTGAGACGTTCACCCTACTGAGATAGGGGTTAGCTACAAGCCTGTACAACCAGAGGTCTGTGCTTGGGTCCGGCTTTGGTAATGCGTGAAAGTCGACTGTAAGAATGGACAAGAAGAATGCCTACGAGGGCGTACCCGAATAAAATGAGAATTATTTACTGACATTTTATTAGTTTAATAGTATATCTTATTACCACTAATCCTCTTCAAATTACTGTCAGTTAGATGGAATGCAGATATCCGAAAGAATTGTCCACTACTCTTCTGTCCCTCTTTATTTATTATGTTAAGTGCTCTTAGCGATGTTTTCCTCAACCTCTTTTACTTTCTGAAGCCGGTCTCTGTTTTAGGTTTTTTTGCCATTATTGGAAATAAGAAGAAGACGCGGAGGGCAAAGTCAGGTGCGTAGAGAGGTGAGAAATTAGTTTCAAGACCTTTGTTTTTAAATTAAGTTGATTTTGAACGCACTATGGGTAGGTGGGTTGTCACGATTAAGCAGCCAGTCCTCCAATCGTCATAATTTCGATCG